AAACATCCCAGTAGTATGACGTATGACAGCCCAGTAGTATGAGGTATGAAACAGCCCAGTAGTATGAGGAATGAAACAACCCAGTAGTATGAGGTATGAAACAGCCCAGTAGTATGATGTATGAAACAGACCAGTAGTATGAGGTATGAAACAGCCCAGTAGTATGAGGTATGAAACAGCCCAGTAGTATGAGGTATGACACAGACCAGTAGTATGATGTATGAAACAGACCAGTAGTATGAGGTATGAAACAGCCCAGTAGTATGAGGTATGAAACAGACCAGTAGTATGAGGTATGAAACAGCCCAGTAGTATGAGGTATGAAACAGCCCAGTAGTATGAGGTATGAAACAGCCCAGTAGTATGATGTATGAAACAGACCAGTAGTATGAGGTATGAAACAGCCCAGTAGTATGATGTATGAAACAGACCAGTAGTATGAGGTATGAAACAGCCCAGTAGTATAAGGTATGAAACAGCCCAGGAGTATAAGGTATGAAACAGCCCAGGAGTATGAGGTATGAAACAGCCCAGGAGTATAAGGTATGAAACAGCCCAGGAGTATGAGGTATGAAACAGCCCAGTAGTATGAGGTATGAAACAGCCCAGTAGTATGAGGTATGAAACAGCCCAGTAGTATAAGGTATGAAACAGCCCAGGAGTATGAGGTATGAAACAGCCCAGTAGTATGAGGTATGAAACAGCCCAGGAGTATGAGGTATGAAACAGCCCAGGAGTATGAGGTATGAAACAGCCCAGGAGTATGAGGTATGAAACAGCCCAGGAGTATGAGGTATGAAACAGCCCAGGAGTATGAGGTATGAAACAGCCCAGTAGTATGATGTATGAAACAGACCAGTAGTATGAGGTATGAAACAGACCAGTAGTATGAGGTATGAAACAGCCCAGTAGTATGAGGTATGAAACAGCCCAGTAGTATGAGGTATGACACAGACCAGTAGTATGATGTATGAAACAGACCAGTAGTATGAGGTATGAAACAGCCCAGTAGTATGAGGTATGAAACAGACCAGTAGTATGAGGTATGAAACAGCCCAGTAGTATGAGGTATGAAACAGCCCAGTAGTATGAGGTATGAAACAGCCCAGTAGTATGTATGAAACAGACCAGTAGTATGAGGTATGAAACAGCCCAGTAGTATGATGTATGAAACAGACCAGTAGTATGAGGTATGAAACAGCCCAGTAGTATAAGGTATGAAACAGCCCAGGAGTATAAGGTATGAAACAGCCCAGGAGTATGAGGTATGAAACAGCCCAGGAGTATAAGGTATGAAACAGCCCAGGAGTATGAGGTATGAAACAGCCCAGTAGTATGAGGTATGAAACAGCCCAGTAGTATGAGGTATGAAACAGCCCAGTAGTATAAGGTATGAAACAGCCCAGGAGTATGAGGTATGAAACAGCCCAGGAGTATGAGGTATGAAACAGCCCAGTAGTATGAGGTATGAAACAGCCCAGGAGTATGAGGTATGAAACAGCCCAGGAGTATGAGGTATGAAACAGCCCAGGAGTATGAGGTATGAAACAGCCTAGGAGTATGAGGTATGAAACAGCCCGAGCAATATGAGGGAAGAGACACAGATGGATAAGAAAACAATGTAATAAATCATAGGAGCTCAGGTGAAGTTCAGCAACTTGTAACACTGTGCGCGACGAAGTGAAGTTTCAGTATGAATTAAATGCCAGGCCCCAACACCTGGCTTGCTGTAATCTTGATGTTCAATCTGAATACTTTGGCAATAAGTAATAGCCCCCGTGTTTTGCTTCTGAATATTATGTCAATGTTTCGTTATTAACTAAGAAAATGGTTTACAAAATTCTGAGAATAGAGGGGTGACTATCACATTTCGCGCGCACTGATCATAACTTGTATACCATGCAAGGTGGTGAAGATGATCGTGAGAAGGAAGCTGGCAGAACATCTGGAGAGAAGCAGCTTTGTAACACACCACCAGCATGGGTTCAGGAGAGGTAAATCTTGCCTCGCAGGCTTAACAGAATTAAGTGACCAGGCGACAAAAACTAGGCACGAAAGTGAGAGGTGAGCAGACTGCATTTTCTCAGACTGTCAGACCGCCTTTGACACAGTACAACGTAAGTGACTGTGACAGAAGTTGGAGAAATAGGCAGAAATAACAGGTAAGGTGCTCCAGTGGATAAGGGAGTATCTAAGCAATAGGAAACAGCGAGTAACAATGAGAGAGGGAGGCATCAGAGTATCGAGATGTCACCAGGGAAGTCCCACAGGGCTCTGTACTTGGACCCTTCTTGTTTCTAATATATGTAAACGATCTTATGAGGGTATAGACTCATTCCTCTCAATGTTTCTTGTTACTAAAATTATGAGAAGGAACATTATGAAACAGAGGAACAGAGAGACTACAAAAAGACCTGGACAAATTAGAGGAATGGTCTAGAAAATGGCTACTAAAGTTCAACTCAGAAAAGTGTAAAGTAATGAAACTAGATGAAGGGAGCAGAAGGCTGAACACAAGGTACCATCTGGGAGGTGAAATCCTGCAAGAGTCAAATAGAGTGAAAGATCTGGGGGTTGATATCACACCGAACCTGTCCCCAGAGGCCCACATCAAAATGATATCATCAGCGGCATATGTTAGGTTGGCCAACATAAGAACTGCCTTTAGAAACTTGTGTAAGGAATCGTTCAGGACCTTGTATATCACATATGTCAGACCAATCCTGGAGTATGCAGCTCCAACCTAAAGTCCATACCTCGTTAAACACAAGACAAAGCTCGAGAAGATTAGGAGGTATTCCACCAGACTAGTCCCAGAGGTGAGAGGAACGAGTTACGAGAAAAGGCTACGGGAAATCTCACGTTCCTGGAAGACAGAAGATTAAGGGGAGGCATAATCACCCGTATAAAATTCTCAGAGGAATTGACAGGGTGTACAAAGACAAACTATTTAGCACGGCCGGAACTCGAGCAAGGGGACACAGGTGGAAACTTAGTACTCAAATGACACCCAGAAAAATTATAAAGAATTGTTCAGCGTCTGGGTAGTTGATGGAACAAATGGAATAAATGCATTAGGCAGTGATGTGGTGGAGTCTGACTCCATACACAGTTTCAAATGTAGATATGATAGAGCCCAGTAGGCTCAGGAATCTGTACACCTTTTGATTGACAGTTGAGAGGCGGGACCAAAGAGCCAGAGCTCAACCCCCGCATGCACAACTAGGTGAGTACAAGTGAGACTCGCGTATACTGATCACAACTCGACAACCATTTCTAACTTTCTGCGATCAAAGTTACCTTTTCCATAACACATGACAAATAACGATGCATAATTTATTTCAATAAATATCTAAAATTTTGTTTATATAATTTATTTCTATAAATTACAGCAACACTATTACCTGCTGAGCTAACTGTATTATGAATGGGGGGTTGTTACTGAACCCATTATGTACCTCTGTAATCCTTTTCCACCACCACCCACGGGATGGGCAAAGGGTCCACCACCGCCCACGGGATGGGTATAGGGTCCACCACCGCCCACGGGATGGGTATAGGGTCCACCACCACCCACGAGATGGGTACAGGGTCCACCACCACCCACGAGATGGGTACAGGGTCCACCACCGCCCACGGGATGGGCAAAGGGTCCACCACCGCCCACGGGATGGGTATAGGGTCCACCACCGCCCACGGGATGGGTATAGGGTCCACCACCGCCCACGGGATGGGTATAGGGTCCACTACCGCCCACGGGATGGGTACAGGGTCCACCACCGCCCACGGGATGGGTACAGGGTCCACCACCGCCCACGGGATGGGTACAGGGTCCACCACCGCCCACGGGATGGGTACAGGGCCCACCACCGCCCACGGGATGGGTACAGGGTCCACCACCGCCCACGGGATGGGTACAGGGTCCACCACCACCCACGGGATGGGTACAGGGTCCACCACCACCCACGGGATGGGTACAGGGTCCACCACCACCCACGGGATGGGTACAGGGTCCACCACCACCCACGGGATGGGTACAGGGTCCACCACCACCCACGGGATGGGTACAGGGTCCACCACCACCCACGGGATGGGTACAGGGTCCACCACCACCCACGGGATGGGTACAGGGTCCACCACCACCCACGGGATGGGTATGGAATGCATAAGAAATAACTAAAGATTTAGGATGGAAACTTTGGTTACTAAAGGATACATCTACTTGTATATGCGAGTTTAAAGGTGTTTGTGTGTTTGCAATGTTTGATGATATAATCTGCCCTTTTCTGTATATCGGATATACCATTTCGTTACATGAACGCGATGTTACTTGTGCAATATAGTAGGAGCCTGGGTGAAGCTGACCAATATACAGGGGGCCAGATTCACGAAGCAGTTAGGCAAGCGCTTACGAACCTGTTACTCTTTTCTCATTCTTTGGCGGCTTTGTTTACAATTATTAAACAGCTAATGAGCTCCGAAGCACCAGGAGGCTGTTTATAACAATAACAACAGTTGATTGGGAAGTTTCATGCTTTTAAAGTGTTTAATAACTGTAATCAAAGCCGCTAAAGGTTGAGGAAAGATGTACACGTTCGTAAGTACTTGCGTAACTGCTTCGTGAATTTGGCCCCGGGTGCGTGGATAAGGCAGGTTTGGAAGCCATAAACACTAATCAAAGCTTCTCCTGCGTGTTACCTTGCTCCTGGCCAGCTTCATCCAACGCTTGGGCTTAGGTAACAACGTCTTCTAGCTTTCCATTATTTAATAAAATGGCTTCATTTTTAGTATATTTAAATTTCTGCAACGGAGAATATAATTGTCAATTATTGTTGTTTCAAAACTTGATAAAAAGAATGAATATCATTAAAATAATAATAATAAGATAAATCATTTGATCAATTATGGTGATTTTGTCAACAAAATGTTCCTTAATAATACAAATGTGAAATTATAAACTTATAATGTTATATAAAATATTAATAAACAAAATCTTCAGTCTATAACCCTGAGTTATGACTGTAGACGTTGGAGCGAGGCGCCCTGGAGGAGGGCGGCGAGGCGCCCTGGAGGAGGGCGGCGAGGCGCCCTGGAGGAGGGCGGCGAGGCGCCCTGGAGGAGGGCGGCGAGGCGCCCTGGAGGAGGGCGGCGAGGCGCCCTGGAGGAGGGCGGCGAAGCGCCCTGGAGGAGGGCGGCGAGGCGCCCTGGAGGAGGGCGGCGAGGCGCCCTGGAGGAGGGCGGCGAGGCGCCCTGGAGGAGGGCGGCGAGGCGCCCTGGAGGAGGGCGGCGAGGCGCCCTGGAGGAGGGCGAGGCGACCTGGAGGAGGGCGAGGCGCCCTGGAGGAGGGCGAGGCGCGCTGGAGGAGGGCGAGGCGCCCTGGAGGAGGGCGAGGCGCCCTGGAGGAGGGCGAGGCGACCTGGAGGAGGGCGAGGCGACCTGGAGGAGGGCGAGGCGACCTGGAGGAGGGCGAGGCGACCTGGAGGAGGGCGAGGCGACCTGGAGGAGGGCGAGGCGACCTGGAGGAGGGCGAGGCGACCTGGAGGAGGGCGAGGCGCCCCGACGACCTGGAGGAGGGCGAGGCGACCTGGAGGAGGGCGAGACGACCTGGAGGGCGAGGCGCCCTAACGACCTGGAGGAGGGCGAGACGACCTGGAGGAGGGCGAGACGACCTGGAGGAGGGCGAGACGACCTGGAGGAGGGCGAGGCGCCCTAACGACCTGGAGGAGGGCGAGACGACCTGGAGGAGGGCGAGACGACCTGGAGGAGGGCGAGACGACCTGGAGGAGGGCGAGGCGCCCTAACGACCTGGAGGAGGGCGGCGAGGCGGCGGCGCGGGAGGAGGGCGTGGCCAAATAAGAAGCGAGCATCGCGGCGCTGGTCGGGATCCCCGGCCAGACTCGCTGATAGAAGACTAGAATCTTTATGGAGTTTCACAATGCGGCTGCCAGCCCTTACAGTAGCCATTCCCTGCTCAAACCTAACTATAACGAGGGGTGTTTTGTTTGTTTACTGCATATATTTCACAGAAGATATGAAAAGAAACAAGGGTGAGAGGCTATGCTGGGTGCGATTTATGAGTCCCTCGGAATAGCCCCGTCCCTCTCCTACTGTGAATCTTGCTTTATTGGTCTGTTGTTTCCCGCCTCACCACTGCCGCTTATACCATTCCTCATACTCGTAATTACGCACCGGTATATTATTGACCCCGACAGTACGCCAGGACCCGAGGACTGGAACCGGGAGTCGCGTAAACGGGACCGAGGTCCAAATACGCCCCGTCGACAGGGGGCCGAGTTTTATGGGTTGTCTGATGGAGAGCTTTGTACTTCTAAATCTTGATATTACATTTCTAATTTCGCACGTCGATCCTCATCGAATTCTTCATGGGATTTGGTTTCCTTCCGGTGCGACATTTGGCTTCTGGAGATGTTGATGGAAAATGTTGGGAAGGTTCAGGGCGTGTGGGTGGAAGTAGAGGCGAGGGAGGCAGCTGTCACTCTTATGATATGGGGAGTGTTTTATGGGGGTGTTGCTGCCCCATACTGGAGTGTGCTCTCACACACACACACACCAGACACACACACCAGACGACACACACACAAACACACACACTAGACACACACACATACTAGACACACACACACCTCTTAACTTTTTTAGTGTCAGAGTGGTTGACAAATGGAATGCATTAGGCAGTGATGTGGTGGAGGCTGACTCCATACACAGTTTCAAGTGTAGATATGATAGAGCCCAGTAGGCTCAGGAACCTGTACACCTGTTGATTGACAGTTGAGAAACGGGACCAAAGAGCCAAAGCTCAACCCCCGCAAGCACAAATAGGCGAGTACACACACACACACACACACACACACACACACACACACACACACACACACACACACACACACACACACACACACACACACACGCACACAGGGGAACTGCCTACCTGTAACGATTCGAGAAAGAGACCTGCGAGTGTATGTGACACCTAATCTAACTCCTGAGGCACATATAAATAGGATAACGACAGCAGCGTACTCTACACTGGCGAAAATTAGAACTTCATTCAGAAACTTAAGTGAGGAGGCTTTTAGGGCGCTGTACACCACCAACGTGAGACCAGAGACCAGAGTATGCAGGACCAGCGTGGAGCCCCAATCTTTTAGGGCGCTGTACACCACCAACGTGAGACCAGAGACCAGAGTATGCAGGACCAGCGTGGAGCCCCAATCTTTTAGGGCGCTGTACACCACCAACGTGAGACCAGAGACCAGAGTATGCAGGACCACCGTGGAGCCCCAATCTTTTAGGGCGCTGTACACCACCAACGTGAGACCAGAGACCAGAGTATGCAGGACCAGCGTGGAGCCCCAATCTTTTAGGGCGCTGTACACCACCAACGTGAGACCAGAGACCAGAGTATGCAGGACCAGCGTGGAGCCCCAATCTTTTAGGGCGCTGTACACCACCAACGTGAGACCAGAGACCAGAGTATGCAGGACCACCGTGGAGCCCCAATCTAAAAACAAAACAAAATCAAACTCGAAAACCTGCAGACGTCTGCGACGAGGATCGTCTCAGAACTGTAGAGGGATGCGATATGAATTGAGACTGAAGGAACTAAATCTGACGACGCTAGAAAAGAGGCGATAGAGGGAGCCATAATAGAGACGTACAAAATACTTACGCGGATTGACAGAGAACATAAGACGTGACCGCTTCAATCTATATACACCTGAACTCATTCATACATGTCTAATCTACATCTTTTCCACAAATTACCAACCATATTACCAAGCCATAATGTGTTCAGATCTTTCCTCATCCCAAACATGTCAAGTTTAAACCCATTGTTTCGTGTTGTGTTTTGTATGGTTAGATTTAATACCATAAATATATCAGAGTTATTCATCCACTTACGTCCACTTCGACCATGTCACCCCCTAACTCTTCGCCTTTCTACACCATGTAAATTAAGCTTTTTCAATCTCTTCATATGGAAGATATCTAATTTGCGGGGTCAACCTTCTCATCCTTCGGCTAACGCATTCTAGTGAATCTATACCTATTTCGTAGTACGACGACCAAAATTGAACTGCATAATCTAAATGGAGCCTAACAGGAGCAAGATATAACTATAGAATAACACAAGGTGTTTTGTTGCTATCGCTCCTAGAAATAAATCCCGGTGTCCTATTTGCCTTATTTCGAACATTTATGCATTGATTTGTTTGGCTTTGAATTCCGTCTGAACATGGCAGTAGATCCAGTCGTTGTCATATTGGATGACAGCTTTGTCCTGATACTTACCTTGCCTCTCTTCTACGTACTGACCTTGAAATGTCTCCCACACTAGTGCAGCTGGAACAGCTGGAGCTGTTCCATCACCAGACCGCTTTTCATTCATAAACAGGGGGTTTGGCGGGTGCATGGAATCACTTTTGGATCTTTGTTTGGAGGACGGGCTGAGCAGCTTATGGCGGTGGTATCCGAGCAGAGGACGTGAACGAGGCACTGCTCCGGAGCAGTGCACGCGTCATCAGCTGAGAGTCGTGTGTGAAGTGTTCATCATTCATAAACAGACGGTTTGGCGGGTGGGTTAACGAGCATTTGGCCTCTGTTGATGAGGTGGGTTTATTATCTATATGTAAAAAAATTACATATTTTTTGTTATGTTTAAAGAAAAGCTTCAAGCGTTATCAGATATAATTCGTGAATAAATACATTTCCTCCATAAATCGACGAATGTATTGAGTTTATTTGGAAGATGAGTTATAAAGTCAAACTTGAAATCATGCAAAGCATGACAGACCTGAATTATCAATAGATATCAAAACCGGTATTTTTCTCTAATCTAAATTAATGTTATGTATAATAATTTTGTATATAGTTAAGATGGTTCAGTTAGTAATTATTTGAGAAGATCAATACTTTGATCTGGGAAGTGATCAAAGCATTGTCTAAAATAAGCTCGAAAACAAGCAGTTTGGAGTCGCATGTAACCACACAGCCCGTCCTCGCATACAAAGATCCAAGCTCGTTAATCCAGCCGCCAAACCCACTGTTTATGAATGAAAAGCGGTTTACACACGACTCTCAACTGCTGACGTTCGAACACTTCCAGAACAAGTGCTTCACTGACGAATTTTGTTCGAACCACAACGCTGTAAATGCTTCACCCACGTACTACAAATACAAATAATCGCCAACAGAACCTAAACACCTAACCTATCCTATGCTTATATATACACAATATGCCATTATAATATTAATTTATACTTGAGAAAATTCCGGTTTTGAATGAACAGCATGTTAAAATTTATGAATGCGTCTGTGGGGTCGACCGCTGGATGTAATGGACTTTAAGTCGAGGACGGGTTGGCCGGCGAACTGTTTGAATCTCAACACCGTAAATGCTTCACCCACGAACCTCAAATGCAAATCATCGCTAACAGAATCAAAACACCTAACATACGCCTAACTATACATAAAACTTTAATATATAATATTATTATTTTATGTATGAGAACAAACCTATTGGTAATGCACTATACAGAATTATGAATGCGTCTGGGGGAAACGGCCGCTGCTTTAACGAGCCTGGTCTGAGAACAGGTTGTTAATAAAAGCCAATGAAGCTCGTAGGACAAAACCGGAATTGGCGAGCGTGGAGCCACGACCGTCCCTGGTCGCCACAACTATGGCAACTTGAGAGGTCAACAGAGTGGAGTAAGATCATAAAAGCCGTTAGCATGAAAGCTATACCCCGGTCCAATCAAGGCGGGGGAACACGCCTGGAATATTCTCTTGCTGTGGGGGTGTGTGGGGGTGTATGGGGGGTGGGGTGGGGGTGTATGGGGGTGTATGGGGGTGGTGTGGGGGGGTGTATGGGGGTGGTGTGGGGGTGTATGGGGGTGGTGTGGGGGTGTATGGGGGTGGTGTGGTGGGGGTGTATGGGGGTGGTGTGGTGGGGGTGTATGGGGGTGGTGTGGTGGGGGTGTATGGGGGTGGTGTGGTGGGGGTGTATGGGGGTGTATGGGGGTGTATGGGGGGTGGGGTGGGGGTGTATAGGGGTGGTGTGGGGGTGTATGGGGGTGGTGTGGGGGTGTATGGGGTGGTGTGGGGGTGTATGGGGTGGTGTGGGGGTGTATGGGGTGGTGTATGGGGTGGTGTGGGGGAGTATGGGGTGGTGTGGGGGTGTATGGGGGTGGTGTGGGGGTGGTGTGGTTGTGTATGGGGGTGGTGTGGGGGTGTATGGGGGTGGTGTGGGGGTGTATGGGGGTGGTGTGGGGGTGTATGGGGTGGTGTGGGGGTGTATGGGGTGGTGTGGGGGTGTATGGGGTGGTGTATGGGGTGGTGTGGGGGGGTGTATGGGGTGGTGTGGGGTGTATGGGGGTGGTGTGGTTGTGTATGGGGGTGGTGTGGGGGTGTATGGGGGTGGTGTGGTTGTGTATGGGGGTGGTGTGGGGGTGTATGGGGGTGGTGTGGGGGTGTATGGGGGTGGTGTGGGGGTGTATGGGGTGGTGTGGGGGTGGTGTGGGGGTGTATGGGGGTGGTGTGGGGGTGGTGTGTGTGTGTGTGGGGTGGTGTGGGGGGTGTATGGGGTGGTGTGAGGGGTGTATGGGGGTGGTGTGGGGGTGTATGGGGGTGGTGTGGGGGTGTATGGGGTGGTGTGGGGGTGTATGGGGTGGTGTGGGGGTGTATGGGGTGGTGTATGGGGTGGTGTGGGGGTGTATGGGGTGGTGTGGGGGTGTATGGAGGTGGTGTGGGGGTGGTGTGGTTGTGTATGGGGGTGGTGTGGGGTGTATGGGGGTGGTGTGGGGGTGTATGGGGGTGGTGTGGGGGTGTATGGGGTGGTGTGGGGGTGTATGGGGTGGTGTGGGGGTGTATGGGGTGGTGTGGTTGTGTATGGGGGTGGTGTGGGGGTGTATGGGGGTGGTGTGGTTGTTTATGGGGGTGGTGTGGGGGTGTATGGGGGTGGTGTGGGGGTGTATGGGGGTGGTGTGGGGGTGTATGGGGGTGGTGTGGGGGTGTATGGGGGTGGTGTGGGGGTGTATGGGGGTGGTGTGGGGGTGTATGGGGGTGGTGTGGGGGTGGTGTGGGGGTGGTGTGGGGGGTGGTGTGGGGGTGGTGTGGGGGTGTATGGGGAGGGGGTGGTGTGGGGGTATGTATGGGGTGGGGGTGGTGTGGGGGTGTGTATGGGGTGGGGGTGGTGTGGGGGTGTGTATGGGGTGGGGGTGGTGTGGGGGTGTATGGGGTAGGGGTGGTGTGGGGGTGTATGGGGTAGGGGGTGGTGTTGGGGTGTACAAGATGGGGGTGTATGGGGGTGGGGGTGGTGTAGGGGTGTTTAAGGTGTGGGGAGTGGTGTTGTGGTTTATGGGGTGGGAGTTTGTGGATGGTGGTGGGAGAGTGGGGGTGGGAGTGTGGGGGTGGTGTGTGTGGTGACAGCAGACAGTATGACAGACATGGGGTGTGTGGAGAGCCAGACGGTGGTCTCATACTAGACCACATAACAAGCCGCTGCTACACGGGGTCATGCTGTATTCCGTCCGCCTCCAGCATCATAACAACACCCACCAAATGATCTGAAAATAGCATGACTTAACTTGCCCCTAGTGCTAAATGTTTCTGGAAAATATTAACCACCAAAATAAGTCTAGCCTGGCCTAGCTTGGCTCGGCCTAGCCTGGCCTGGCCCGGCCTAGCCTGGCCCGGCCTAGCCTGGCCTGGCCTGGTCTGGCCTAGCCTGGTCTGGCCTAGCCTGGCCTAGCCTGGCCTGGCCTGGCCTGGCCTGGCCTAGCCTGGCCTAGCCTGGCCTAGCCTGGCACTCAGCAACAGTCCCAATACCAACAAAAGCTTGGCAATGCGCGCATCACTCGCCACCAGCACCACCTGGCGGTGAAGTACACAAACTTCGATTCATAAAATACTTTCTGTACAAAATTACACGATTACAAAAAGTATCAAAATCAGATACAATATTCTCAATATTTTGTGTGGCTGTAACGACACCCGGCTCAGAGCCAGTATGATCGCCGCTCTCAATATCAAGCATGGGATTACGCGTCTTATTGCTACAAGAGTATAGCTCACTAATACTCCATAAAGAGCAGTAAAACACGCGCATGGACGAGCAGTGATGGGGGGGGGGGGGAGGGGTAGGATGGGGGGGGGGTGAAGGGGGAGGGGGTGAATTGAGGGGTGGACGGGACTAATAGAAGGAAGGGAACTATCGGGAGAAAGCGCTAAACCATAACGCCTATATAGCACTGGAAAGGGATAATGATGTGGGATGGGACGGGGAAAAGCAATGATGACCAACCACTTGGACGGTCGGGGATTAAACGCCGACCTGCATGAAGCGAGACCATCGCTCTACCGTCCAGCCCAAGTGAACGGGGACGAGCTAAAGGACAAAATTTGAAAGAAAGAGAGAAGTGAAAGTAAAGATAACGAGGAGGAGAAGGTATAACTGAAAGAAGGAGGTGGAGACAACGGTGGTTATGACAAAAGATATCAAATCATTAACTAAAAAGAGAGGTGATGAAGGTGCCCAGGTACCTAGAGGAGAGCTCGCCTGATACACTTCCACCCCCCCACACACACACCCAACACCTCCCCCACACACACACACCCAACACCTCCCCCCCACACACACCCAACACCTCCCCCACACACACACACCCAGCACCTCCCACACACACACACACCCAACACCTCCCCCCCACACACCCAACACCTCCCCCCACACACACCCAACACCTCCCCCACACTCACATCCAATACCTCCCCCACACACACATCCAACACCTCCCCCACACACACCCAACACCTCCCACCACACACACCCAACACCTCCCCCCCACACACACCCAACACCTCCCCCCCACACACACCCAACACCTCCCCCACACTCACATCCAACACCTCCCCCACACACACATCCAACACCTCCCCCACACACACCCAGCACCTCCCCCCCACACACATCCAACACCTCCCCCACACACACCCAGCACCTCCCCCCCACACACACATCCAACACCTCCCCCACACACACCCAGCACCTCCCCCACACTCGCATCCAACACCTCCCCCACACACACATCCAACACCTCCCCCACACACACCCAGCACCTCCCCCACACACACCCAGCACCTCCCCCACACACACATCCAACACCTCCCCCACACACACCCAGCACCTCCCCCCACACACACATCCAACACCTCCCCCACACACACCCAGCACCTCCTCCCCACACACACATCCAACACCTCCCCCACACACACCCAGCACCTCCCCCACACACACATCCAACACCTCCCCCACACACACCCAGCACCTCCCCCCCACACACACACCCAACACCTCCCCCACACACACACCCAACACCTCCCCCACAC